TTTCAAAGCTTTCCCCACAAAGCTCTTGCCAGCTCCAGTACAGACAGAAAAATCCATTAGCAGATAGGAAAACTCACCAGAGCTCCCTGCCAGGGCAAGCTGCTGAGCAAAGCAGCTTCCAGCAAGTCACCCACCAGGTGAGATGGCCCCAAAAGCAGCTCCTGGGCAGTTTTTGGGGAAAACCAGCCTGGCATCACTGTGCTGGCAAATGTACTAAATCTCAGTGTATGGCAATGGGTGATACTTTCATCCCTGGGTGCCAAAAGTCCCTTTATTCGCCTATTCTTGATTTTCAGCCCTGTGTATCTGTTGGAACTGCTGTTCTGAGCACACACTGCAGCAATGTTTCTGTGGTGCTACAATTAACCAAAGCCCCATTATCTTTACAATACACTCATGTACTCCCTGCCAGGATTCCCTAAAAATCTAGGGAAGCAAGTTTTCCTGCCTCTGAGGCTTCCCAAGGCCATCAGAGCTGGGCTCACACCAAGCACCCTGAGCCAGGTGAGATGAGCACTTCAGTTTTGGGATAACATCAAACCAGCCTGCACAATGGCATCACCTCCACAGCACCCCAGCAGCACTCTGTATAACCTAGTTAACCCAGACCTAAAGAGTATTTTAAAGGTGTTTGCAGGAAAGTAAAGCAGCAGGGATCTGCTCACAGGACAAGCACACTGGGAATTGCATGCTGCTCCCATATAGCACTGGCTCCTTTCTGCTTCCCTCCTTCTGACAAATGCAAGTGGTTGAACAAAGCTCTGGTTGATTTTGCAATTTATTAGGATTTTCTAGAAACTCAGTCATCAGTTCTGAGTGGAAAAAAAAAACGGCTTTGATGAGCTCCCTGCTCTTCCCTTTCTAGGCAGTGCTCTGCAGGCAGAGCTGCACAAATGACTGCAAGGGGAGCACAGGGCTGGGCTGCATCCAAAACGGGGCAGGCAGGGTGAGGGAGGGGATTCTGGCCCTCTGCTCCACTCTAGTGAGACCCCCCCTGGAGCATCTCCTCCAGCTCCAAGGCCCCCCAAGATAGGAAAAGGACCATTTCCATAAGGAAATGGAGCTGTTGGAGTGAAGGTGATCAGATGTCTGGAGCATCTCTGCTATGGACACAGGCTGAGAGAGTCAGGGCTGCTCAGCCTGGAGAGGAGAAAGCTGCCAGGAGACCTCACTGCACCTTCCAGGGCCTGATGGGGCTCCAGGAGAGCTGGAGTGGGACTTCTACAAGGGCATGGAGGGACAGGACAAGGAGGAAGGGCTTTGACTGACAGAGGTTTAGATTGGATATTAGGAAGAAATTCTTGACTGTGAGGGTGGTGAGGCACAGGCACAGAGAACCTGAGGCTGTCTCATCCCTGGCAATTTGCAAGTCCAGGCTGGATGGGGCTTGGGGCAACCTGGGATAGTGGAAGGTGTCCCTGCCCATGGCAGGGGGGTCAGGACAAAATGATCTTCAAAGTCCCTTCCAACCTAAACCACTCCATCATTCTAACCTCAGAGGAGATCAGCTTTTACCTATGTAAGACCCCCCTGACTGTCTCCCTTTTAATTCCAATAAGAGAGAAAGCATTAACTTTTGGAGGTGCCGGGTTGAATATTTTATTAAGCTTATTTGTACTGCATCTCTCCCAGTTGTCTTGGTTTATGGTAAAAAGCACAAAGAGACTGACTAAAATCATTCTTCCCTACATTAATGATTAAAATATCTACAAGAGGTGGACATACTAGGCAGATTTTCAACCAGGGAAAAGGTAGGAGATTAGAAAATTAATATAGATGTAGGCCTAGACAGCAATTTTTTTCCCTGTGTGCCCTGAGTGCCAGCCTCCTTGATAAAGTATTTTAATAGCAGGTTTTAGGGGTGAAGTTTTTAAGCAGACAAATTGCAGAAATAATAAAGCCCTAACACACACCACAGCTGACAAATTAGCTACTAAAGCAAGGCCTGGGATGGGAACTGTTTACTGCCACATTACTGAATTCACTGTTCTCCACTGCTGTTTGCAGACCTGGAACAACACACAGGCTCCCATTTAAATGCATGCCTGGAGACACAGTTTCCAAAAGCAGGTTTACAGCAGCATGACTTCCTCCTCTTGGGGACTGCAGAGCTCCTCAGAACCCACCTGGAGGCTCTGCAGCACCTCTGGAGCTCAGGTTCATGAGCCCTCTGCAGCCAGGTCTGGGTGAATGTTCACAGCCTGGGGGGTGGCAAAGGGCAAAAAGGAACAACCACCTGGAGAAAAGATGCTCAGTCAGGTAACATGCCTGAGGATCTCAAATACCAGGAGGGAAAACCACTGCTGCAGAAATGCCACCAATGCTGGGAAAAATCAAAGAAGCCCAAAGGACAGGCAAGGGCAGTAGTGTTCTTATTCATGGTATAATCACTGTGGGTATGGATGATGAGTTTTCCATAATTCCAGAGGATTTTAATGACAATTAAATAACCTGTCATTATTGTTAATACCATGCAGGTGAGCTGTACTTTGCCTACAGAAGCAGTGGTGGCCAAGGTCAGTAATAAAAGAGATTAATATGAGAAGCCAGGGCAAGTGTAAAAACCCACATTTTGAAAGAAAACCCCTGTGGCATTTCATACTTCAGTATGGCTACAGTGTCTAAAAACAATCATATTTACAGAATTACAGTAAATATAACTGTTTGCTTCCAGGTATATTCTTTGAAACTCAATATGTGCTGATAAGTTTAACAGAGAAACTTTCATCATAGCACAGCTAAATAAAAAAAGTTGTATTCTATCATTTACAAAGTGATATCTTACAAAGATATTTACCCCAGATGACCCCAGGTCCTGATGCAGCTCAGTTCTTAGACCCTCTACAATACTGTATGCTTCCATTATTGCCTTATTTCTCCACTGAACAGCTCATATCCTCACTTGTAGGAAAAAAAAAAAAGTTGCTCTGGGCTCAGGTCTGACATAAAACCCTTAGCTGAGCAACATCAGTGATTTAAAAACAAACTTCAAAAACCCAGTGGCCATTCTTTTTTGGTGACAATTGCCAGGCAACTGGCTTGCTTGGCTTGGATTTTTTTCTCCTTCATTGCAATAATGCAGAAATGTCTCTAGAGCAAAGAAACGAATCACTGAAGTATTAAATAATCAAGAGGAGTTATGGTTAAGTAAGTACCTAGCTACATATGGCACAAATGAATTTCAACAGCTTTACCAAGTGCAAAAGCACTGAATGGTTTTGTAATGCCCAGTAATTTTTATGGTAAAGGAAGTCAATTTATGTCCTGGTTTGGCAGAGGATGGGCAGATTGTAGCTCTACTGCTTTGTGTTGACTTTAGAGGTGCTCCATCTACTTGTCCTGCCACAAACTCATTCTCTGTGGGCAGAACAAGGTGTCAATATTCAGTCATATAAGAGACAGTCATGTTTGTTCACTGCATGGTGTGTTCACTGATGTTGGATGCTTTTGCTCACAGTTGAACTTGAGATTAAACAGGATCCATCTACATGAAGAAGTCAGTTTTGTTTCTTACTGCCCTGGAAATGCCAACTGGGCTTAGAGCTGAGCTAGGTTTTCTCTCATTATCAACTGCAACATGAATTCTCCATCTCACCTGAACTCAAGGTAAACCTACAGTTACATCTCTGCTCCTTTGGTGTTCCAGAGAAGGTTGACTGATGGTTCTGGCTGATGGGAGAACTTCCCCTGGCTCTGTGGCAGCAGAGCTGCTGCTCCTGATCATCACTGCAGCCTCCCTGCACAAGCAGTGCTTGGCTGCTGTGAAACAGTGATTTTCTGCAGAAAGAGACTCAGGCAGGTTAAAAACCAATGTCCTGCACTGCATCCTGGAGCTTAACATGCTGCCCACAAGTCCTGCCTGGGCCCATCTGCCCAACACCAGCCCAGCACAGACTCCTCCTGGTCACTGCAAGATGAGAGCAATCCAGCTCAGTGTAATTTGGTCCCTAAACCCCTTCCAAGCAGTGGAGAAAGCTTGCTCCATGGGAGCCAAACTTCCCGGGGTGGGAAACCACCCGAGTGCCATCACAATGTGTCACAGCCTGCACAAGGTGGTGGCTGAGCAGAGCCAGCACAGAGAACAGCACAGAGTGCTGCTGGCTCCGAGCCACTCAGCTCGGAGCCCATAAGCTGATCTATTTCCATGGTACCCCCCAAAAAAGATAAGAGTTACAGTGCAAGTAGTACAGTGACCTACATAAACACAGCTCTTTTGTAAACAGGAGTCAAAAATGGCAGGAACAAGCAGATAACAGGGAAACAGTGTCAGATTTTAATCACCTTTGGTTTTAAGCAAACTATTACAACACTCCTACACCTTTGCCCCATCTCCAACTCTACCCTCCCCACACAGAGCATCTCAGTTGTGTCTCAAGAAAAATCTCCTCTGCAGAACAAGCACCATAGTATCACAGTACGTTTGTCCTTGGTGTTCAAACAGAGCAGCAGGATTTTCAGAGCAAGACAGCCTCAGTTTCTCAGGAGGCTGAGAAATTCCCAAAATGTATTTTTAAAGAGTCAAGTAAAAATAAGAAATAATCTCATTAAATGCAGCCCAAAACTGGAATGAGATGGAGAATCAGCTCTTCTTTGGTAAATCAGGGGAAGCTACAGCACGTGCCTCTGCCTGGCATCTACTTGGAGGAACCTTTTTTTGATGCTAAAAGAGGCAGAGGACACCTGGAGAGCAGGACCAGCCTTTCAGAGCTACCCAGGGCAAGCACAGTTGGGACATCTCAACTCCCAACCTCACACCCCAGGGCGAGTCCAGACCCTTCTGCTCTGACCAACCTGAGAAGAGGCAAAGCCCTTAATGGAAACCCAGGCCGTGCAAACACCAGCTTCAAACGCTACCAAAAGTTTCTTGGAAGATCAGAAGGGGGCGGGAAGGGGTTGGTAATTGGAGCCATTTGGGGTTTGCTGGCAGGAGGAAAGGGACAGCTTGGTTTCAACACAGTTTGTGTACAAGAGAGCCCGGGGACCTGCAGAGGGTTACTCACAGCTGTCGAGAGCTTCCCTTCGTTCTTCTGCGCGTGGACGACGGCGTCGCGCACCACGGAGAACAGGCTCAGCAGGACGTGCTCCATGTCGTAGATGCCATGCATGCCCCTGGTCAGCCCCTCCAGAGCCTGGATGTACTCCTTCCAGAGGTTATGGATCTCCAGGACGCCCGCCAGGCATCCCTGCATCACCGCCCCGCAGTAGCCGGCACAGGGCTTGGCCAGCAGCAGCCCCTGGCAGTGGGAGCAGTACCACATCTTCAGCAGCGCCCGCCCGCACTCCTTGCTGAACTTCAGGTGGTCAGTGGTGTTTATCACCTCGATGCCCAGGTTCAGAGCCTGCAGAAAGACTCGTGTGGCCTGCAGGGACTTGGACACCTGCGTCATCATCGTCTTTGGGTAGTTCCCAAAGGCTTTGAGGTCTCTCCTGGCCGCCCGCAGACATTCGGTCATTTCCACAGAGGGATCGGGGAAGCCAGGGTTAATCAAGTGAGAGTAAACCAAAGGGAACAAACTGTCAAAAAATTCATTGATCATGTCATTGACACTGATGTCAGAGCCCAATATGTACAGCGAGATATCAGTAAAAAGTTCTCCAACAAATTTAAGAGCCCTGGGCCCCATGCTCTGGTAGTAGGTCCTAAACATGCTGTTGGTGAAGTTTCTTGCATGCCGCACTACAATTTCGAAGGCTTCTGCAAAACAGAACAACGACAAGAAAAAAAATGTTATTAAGAGATGGTGAGCCCAGAAACAGGGAGGATAATGTTCCACCACATCAGTGCTGCCAGGGCTGGCCCCATCCTGCCTGCCTTGGGTCAAACACCTGCTGGCAGCCGTGCCTGCTGCAAAGCACCAGCATCAGCAGTTTCCAGGGGAAATGCATAAATTCTTTAAGCAGAAGCTACATTTCAAAATGGCAAAAAAAAAAACCCCTATGATCTAGTTAACATTGCAGCTTTTAAAGAAAATATTGATTCAAGAAAAGGGCTAGACTGCAATTTCTTTCTCTCCCCCCTTTCATATTGATTTCAAATTAACAGGAATTCTATCTCCAGACTTAATTTAAGGCAGAGATAAATGTTTGACAAACTGTACAGTACTTAAAATTAGGAAACAGTAAATGCTGACATTCCATTATGAAAAGGAAAATATTTATAGGAGTTTAATCACAGACAATATTCTGACTCTACCCCCAGCAGGTACCCTGCATTATGTGTCCTCTAAGCCACTGCAAAAGCCCCCACAGTGCTGCAGCTTTCCCAAATGCACCAGGCTCACTTCAGCTGCAGATCCAATCTTTCATCTGCCCTGGATGGAGCTGCTCCATTGTCCAAAGGATGCTGAGAGCCAGTGGTGCCATATCCACCTGTGGCTGCCCAGCCAGGAACACTCTCATACACATCAGGCTGTCCCACGAAATTCAAGTTTTAGACAGACACTGTCATTTTGCTAGGAAAAACCACAACGCATTTTCCCATCTCTACCTTCACAAACTTTAGGACTTTCAGCCCACATCTCCTTCACAAGGTGAGCAGGGAACCCCCACATTATTCCTTTAATTATAGCCCTCCTCATCAGGAGGCATCCCAAATATCCATACCCCACTATATAAGGACAACATACCTACAAACACACACCAGTTTGCATCTTAAAGCATTAGAAGGGGAGGCCATCAGTGCAAACAAAAGTCTTTTTCTTTGGCCAGCTTGTTCTACCAGGCCAAGTCCCACCCTCCAGGGTACTATTCATAAAATGCTAAAATTAATGAACAGCCTTTCAGTTCACAGGTCACTGACACCCCACGATGTAACTGCTCTCAACTCTGCCACTCTAGAAACACACATCCTGGCTCAATTTGCATGAAAATTATTCATGTTCAATAATTAAAGGGAATGTTTAATTTTTAAAGCCATAAGAGTTATCTCCCCCATTTGTTAAGGCTGGAATGCAGCTGAGCATGGCCTGACACATCTCCACAGGGGTTCAGTATCAACACTGTCACAAGCAATGCTGGCCCTGCTGCTCGCCCTGCATAACCTCTTGCTTACTCAATAGCTTTCAAGACCATCACATCTCCAGGACTTCCAGCTCTTTCTTCCTGGGTGCACCTTATTCAGGGATGCCTGGAAGGACAGGGTGCTGCTGCTGCACCCCACCCCGGCATGCAGACAGCTGTGGTGTAAGCAGTGATCAGAGCAGAAATTACTGATACACTTCTGCAAACAGTGTCTCTACCCCACCTGGTGCCTGCACAGCTCCCAGCCATGCTGCTGAGGCATTTTGTCCACAGCTCAGACACGCACACCAGGACTGTCCCAGCAAGCCAAGATCTGTGCTCCCAGGGGACAGCCATCCTTCCTTCCTCACAGCACAGATTCAGCATGCAGTGCTGCAGGGACACAGGGGCCTCTCCCTGCCATGACAGCCAGCATCCTGCTCCTCAGCCCCTGAAAGAGGATGGCAAAGTTCTCCAGGCAACACAGCAGCAAGTGTGACACAGACTGCAAGCAGAGCACTTGTACTATTGCACTATATGAAATGCTGGGTGTACTATTAAAAGTTTTTAAACAAAAAAAAAAAAAAAAAGTCTCTTTAAAGAGGACACATGGATTACAAACCGTTTTCCCCCCACTCTTTATTCTCAAGAACACCAGAATAGCTTTTGCCTCAAAATGCACAAAGAACATTTTGGACCAGTGTTTTTTTTCTGACAGCAGTGGAGACGGTGCCAGGATTTTCATGCTGTGCCTCACCACATGCCTTTACCTTCTTCTCTGTTAGTTCCCTTTAGAAAAAGTCACCACTTTTCCATTTTCTCGCTCCTCTGTGCTTTGCCAGTTATCATCAGAGCCAAAAGACTCTTCACTGATTAGAAAAATATTCCAAGCTCCTATGCAAACCTCCTACGGCGAGAAGGGCTTCAGAAAGGAATGGAGAACAGTGGTGTACCAGAAGGGCATGCACACACAGTCCCACTGCTTTAAAGGTCATGACATGCACATAATTTTTATCGTAATAACTGGCTGAGAGTGTCTATTTTATGCGCCTGGGAGCTTTTGCATATATCCATTAGAAAGCGCAACAGGGACTATAAAAGCATATGGAGACTCCTGCTGCCCTATTAATAGATGCAAGAAATAATACAACTTTGTAAAAAAGAAGTCTTACACATCCAAAATCTCTCCCACCCAACTCCCACAGTAGTTGCTTATTCTGAAATATTCCTCGGAAAGCACTGGCTGCAGGAATTCTAAATCCCCAGCTGCCAGCAGCTGCAGTGACCCTCAGCCAGGCTCTGAGTGCTTCAAAGGGGAGGAAACTTTGAGGGTCAGACCCTTGTGCTCACCACGAGGGACCCTCACAAGGACACAGGGGGGACAGTGCATTATAGACGTGACACAGGCATCTGATCCCCCATAAAATCCCACAGCCTGCATTTGCTGCTGGTAAAATCTGCCCCACTCATAACGTGGCATTATTGAAACTCATTGCTGGAGGATAATTCAATCTTTTCTCTCATCTATTTTTTTTTTTCCCCAAGGATATTTTCAAAAGCTGCCATTTAAGGCAGCTGTTTTGCAGGTCTGGATGAAGCAGTGTGAATACAAAGCAAAGCATCAGACTTGCCCCCAAGTTCAGCAGGCAAAAGCACTGCACAGCTGAGCAGGGCTCACATTTTACAATCTCCATCCCTGTGCAGAGTACACATGCAGATGCACACACAGGAGGGTATAAGACATGTTCCTTTAAACACATTAGCAACAAAAGAAAGGCTCAGGATAATTTCCACCCTTTAGTGGATGCAGGGAGAAACACAGGGACAAAGGATGAGGAAAAGGCAGATGTACTTAACATCTTCTTGCCTCAGTCTTTAGTAAAGCCAGTTTTTCTCCAGGTACCCAGCACCCTGAGCTGGAAGAGAGGGATGGGGAGTAGAACAAAGTCCCCATAATCCAGGAGAAAATGCTCAGGGCTCTGCTGCACCACTTATATACACACAAACAGGGCTGGATGGGATCCACCCCAGGGTCCTGAGGGAGCAGGCAGAAGAACTCACGAGGCCACTGTCCATCATCTACCAGCAGTCCTGGCACGTACGAGACAGGCAGGGCATCAGGCCCAGCCCACACGGGGTCATGGTCCTGCTTGACCAACCTCATCTCCTTCTGTGATAAGGTGAGCAGCTTGGTGGATCAAAGAAAGCTGGGAATGTCGTCTACCTGGATTTCAGGAAAAACTTTGGCAGTTTCCCACAGTATTTCTCTTGTAGAAACTCTGCTTATGGCTTAGACACCTGTCCAGGAAAGAGAAACCAAGGGGGCACTTGCAGGATGGGAGCCAGAGCATCATCACCAGCCCAGCACTGGTGCCCTGGTACTGCACATCTGTTGACTGCTTCAGTCAAGGGCACTTTATCAGGACTCCCAAAGGATGAATGGAACAGCTCAACTACTCTAGACCACAGATATCAGTCACTAGTTGAAAAGCACAGGCTATTACTTCTTTTTCAGGCTGGACTCTTGCTGAAGTACATGGAGAGGAATTGCTGCCTGATTCCAGCAGCCAGAAGGGAAGGACTAAGCTCCCTTCAAAGTGCAAAAATTCCCCAGAACACAGCCCAGGGAGAGCTGCGTGGCCGCTGCAAACCAGCAATTAGAGAAAATAAATTGTAAAAGAGCATAACAGTGCCCTGAGTGGGGATTACTGGCAGGAGAAGGAAATCGCTGCGTTCTCAGCCCAGATAATAAGAGTCTGCTGCTTATAAAAATGCCAGCTTTCCTGAGCACGTTGGCTCTTAAGCTGCAGCAAACTTCAAAGGGGTCGGCGGCCGGGCCAGAGGAGCTCTGGATTAACCTGCTGCTGCCCCAGGCTGCAGGAGCTCCAGCCCAGTCTGCCACTTGATGGGTTTATTTAAGAGATTATGTGATGCAGCTGCCTGAGCCACAAGGAGCTGCTACAGGTGACCACAGCAAGCCATTCCCATCCAGCATTCCACCGGAGAGGGAAGAGCCAGAACCTGATGGCAGCTGCAGAGCTGGGGCAGCCACAGCAATGGACCTCCAATTCCAAGCTCAGCAAGTGCTGCTTCACAAGCAGCTGAAGGTGTTTAGAAAGGTGAAACAAGGTCTGTCCTTCTGACTCCTGTGCCAGCTCACCCAAGAGCAGCACACCACAGGAGCCACCTCCACACACCACTGTGACCACTGGAAGGAGGGACAGCAGGATCCACCGTGGCAGCTGGACACCAGGACGTGCCACAGGCTTCATGCTGCCCCTCCAGTAACGTGCTGCTCTGGTTCTGCTGTAAAGACAGGCTTCCAACAGGGACAGCTGTCCTTCTCTGGGTGTCACACAGCACAGCAATCAGGTCCTCTTTGGCAAAGGCTCAGCAAAGGTGAAGGAGCTGCACTAGCAGCTCATCATCCATGGGCAGCTGGGAAGGGAACAAAGGTGGAGGTGCAGGACTGTGTGACCCATGCACCCCATAGCACATGAGTACCAAGGCATTAGAACTGCACCTACAACACTGATTTTCCTGTTTCTTGACATCTAGACACATAAATCCTGCAACCACAAACTCCCTCTGAGCAGGGAAGCTCCCACCATGGCTACTCCCACTTACTCTGGGGAGCTGAGCTCACAATTCCCATTTGCACATCTGCAAAGGATTGTTTGCTTAAAAACTTGTCTC